ATATATGTGTGTGTGTGTGTGTGTGTATATATATATATATATATCTGTGCTGGCCACCCATCCGACCTCTCCTGACTCCAGCACACTCCAAGACACATCATGTTTAAAGCGAATGTTGTTAGTGTTACTGCTACATGTGTTAGTGTGAAAGAAGGCTTCTTATTGGTTGCATAATATTAAGATAATAATATAATAGGCTAGGCCAAGTGTGTAATGATCCCCTGTCCAGGTCGGATCGATGGTCCCTTGGAACAGAGCAGATAAGCTTCGCTGCAGGAGAAAAACGTGTGAATCTATCATCAGCGAGGACTGTTCGCCAAGCAAGCAGCCTCACTAAATCCGAGTTTGCTCATATATGTGTTCGTTGAATTGATTAACTTTGTTGATCTTAATGATTTTTAAAAAAAAAGAGGAATCTGTCTCCTTTCATTGAATCCAAGTTTCATTGTATAATATAACGACACTGTCTAAGAAGGAATAGTGCACAAAGTTCCAGCCATCACTCTGATTGCCCGATTTTGTACTTTATCACGCTTCACATGGCTGCTGTTCAAAATTCGATGACTGGCTTGATCCCACCTCTCCGCAAGATGAAGTTCACCTCTGTGTACCCCCCCCCCCCCAACATGCTTTTGATAAGTGTTTTACGGCGCTCACAACTAGGTCATATGAGCGCGCAGGACACATTAAACTTTTTCAGTTGGTAGAAAATTTTGAATTTTGTCCAGGTGGCGGCCAAAGCCTAGTCTTGTCGAATTTAGACCACCAAGGGATCTTTAACGTGCGCAAATTGCACTTGGGCCCTCCGAGATTTTTCCGCCCTTGTCCGAGAAGGCTAGGTGTAGATCTTTCCTACCAGAAGATCAGGGGTGTGGCTGAAAGACAGCAGTAAGAAGGAGCCAGGGAGTAGCAGTAGAAAGGCTGCAGAAAGAGCCAGGATCCCAGAGGAGGGGCCAAAGGAGGTGAGGGGGTGGGGGCAGAAAGAGGAGACGAAAGCAGACGACAGAACATTGCTAGACAGAAAGAAAGGAGATGAAAGGAGACAATTTTAGAGAAGAAAAAGTTTGTCACTAGCCGGATTCGAACCTGGGACCTTTGAATGAGAGGCAAACACCTTAACCTCTAGGCCACAAGAGCCCCATAATTCTTATGACAACCTTTTTATATGATCTTTTGTAAATACACCATAACAAGCAATACCTTATAACAAAGCAGGTGAGGTTTACACAACTTGGATACCTGGTTTGAAGAACAAGTGCAGCAAAAAACACTAGAGGCAGGCAAGTGAGATAACAAACACTGCAGTCAAGTTTTTTTGTAGACTTCCATTCAAAACTTTATTTGACATAAAATTCGCAGTAAATGTTTTTCAAACATCTCATACTTTATGGACATAATAGTCAAATGCTATTCAATTATCACATCGCGACCTCTGTGCTTTCTTGCTGATCTCCATTTTTAATAACAGTAACAGTGAAAACAGCTTATAACAAACAGTGAGCTCAAGAAGAAGTCACAGTTTCAGAGTTTAAAACAATGGAGATATGACAAGAAGAAAGTACTGAGGTCGCAACCTATTAACTGTCCCAAACATCAAGACAATAGCATAGATAGTGGATGTCACAACAAAATAACCAAGTCTGAAATTTTCAAATGCCAATCTGAATGTCTTGCTGAAGAGAGAGAGAGAGCATACGGTTCAACACAATGAGATGACTCAAAATGTTAACTGTTATTTATTTTATTTAGTAAGGTTTTACGGTGCTTGCAACTGCATAAAGTCATATATAAGATCATATGAGCCCCATGGGGTGGAAGTGAACAGAAAAGTCCAAACAGAAAATCAGGCTTACTCTGCTCACCTCTCTAGCCTCAACAGCACAAAGTCTGCTTCGACTATCAAGGCACCCCAGAAATAGCAGTTCGCAAGAGAGTGACAAACATACAAAAAAAGTAGAGGGAAATGACGATAGTAATACTAAGGATGAGGAAAGAAAAAAGCAGAAGTTCCCCCTATGTTGTTCTTGACCATGAAAAATTAGCCCATTTACAATTCGACTGTGCATAAGAACATGTTAATACCCCCCCCCCCCCCCGGAATGGTCTAAATGTTAACTGTACCTCAGAAGAAAAACAACAAAGAAAAGAAAAGGACTTTAAAAGACAGAATGAGAATGAGACTTTAAAAGCCTGTGTACAAATTTCAGACTTGACCATTTTGGGACCCACACCAAAAACATGTAAATTAATCAGATGTTTTTGTACATTCATCATCTTATAGCCATATTTGAATAGTAACATCAATTAAAAGTCAGCCAGTGTATACAGACATAAATCATCTATAAATTAAATACATGAAATATATACACGGATATATCTCAGTCAAACATCTTGTATGCATCCCCAACTTTTTCTTGCACCTCATCGGCCATTTCCTCTTCTTCTTCCTGGCTGTCTGCTTCATCCTCTACAATGACTGGGGGCAGGATAGGGACCTGGGGGTCGTATGACCACTTGGGGAACACGCGCTTGTACAGATGCATCAACACTGTATCCTCAGACTTGAGCTGGCTGTTGAAGGTGCACTTCATGTGGCCATGGGTTCCTGTTCAAGTTCAATGAAAAGTAAAGGTCACTTGTTTTTGTTTTGGTCAAGTGTGGGTGGGGGGCAGAAAGTGGAGATGAAAGCAGATGACAGATCATGGTTAGAGAGCAGGAAAGTAGGTGATAGAAGAACATTTTTAAGAAAAAATTTTTCCCGTTGCTGTCAAGTTTCGAACCCAGAACCTATTGCCTATTGGGAGGCGAACACCATAATCTCTAGACCACGAAAGCCCCCAGTAAAGGGTGGTGGTTTTGTTTATTAGTTGGTGCCAAAAAAGGAGAAACTTAAAAAAGCTCAGAATATTGAATAGTTCAAAATCCCCACAAACCTCAAGTAGGACACACCGAACAATAGTACTTAAAAATGAAATCTTAAATAAACTTCAGAATGTTTTTACTTAAAACTAAAAACTCCATAACTTTAAACACGCAAATTCTGCAGAAGCCCTGAGATAATCTACCTTCCTAATTCATTTAATAATCTAAAGTGATTCTTCATGTGAGAATTTAATCTGCTTTATTCCCCTGTATAATTAGAACCTTTTGTATCAGTTTTAGGTTGAAATTAAAGTCAGCATTTTCATTTCACATTTATACGCTAGTTGCCATAAAACCCATGTAAAACAGCTGCTATTTTAGAATTTACAATAGAAACTGACTCAAATGAAATCCTCAAAGAAAATATCAAAACAAAAACAAAATCTTACCATGCAGCGAACAGAATATTTTGAAGAGCAAATATGAAAAGATATTTAAATCAAATTTGTCCAAGCAATAACATTTTTTGTAAGAAAAAAGTACAAAGAATATAAACATAAAAGATGTTTAAGACTAAATTATTGCATTGAAAAATAAATAATAGTGAGGGGAAAAAAAAAGTATGAAAACTAACTACAACATGAGTCTGCAAGACAATTGTGCTTACCTAAAGCTTGCTTGATGTGGCCTCTTTTCCCATGCTTCGTACGGAGTTCTATAGGCTTGTAGAACTCGATGTCCTCTGATTTAAAAAAAAAAAGAAAAGAAAAGCATGAAGATGGTCCTTTTCAACAATGTCATTTGAACCCATACAAAGTGGTTCGTGGCGCAGAAAAATACATTTGTATGATTATGATTGGTGGGGTGAGACCTTTGACAGGACATCAACTCAAAACAAAGTGCTTTGCACTGCAGTGACTAGAAGTAGGTTAACCATGAGAATCTAATACAATAATCCGCAAGAATGCAGGAGGCCTCTTCTGTCTTTTTTATAGACAACCCCCCCCCCCAACATACTCCCAAAAATATAAAGATTTTTGTTCACCTGTACAAATTCAAAAATTTTGAACATTTCTTTGTATTGCAGTTTTGAAATCTGTGATATTAGCTGCATGCACTGAAGAAATGTTTCATCACAAATCAAATTCTCTAACAAAAAACAAACAAAAATTAAAATCAAATAATTAATGCATACTTCAGGTATAATTAATAAAAGAATAAAACAGTTATTTCTCTATTCTGAACAATTTTGTTTTCTTGGCTTTGATTACTTAGAATAGTTAAACAGCTTACTGATGAAAAATAGGACCCCCCCCCCCCCCAAAAAAAAAACCCCAACAACAAACAAACAAAAAAACTTATTTAATATATAAATAAGCACCCAGGAGAATAAAGCGAAGAATTTTACAGTTATGCTGGTGCCAGTATCAGACAGCAAAGGAGCTTCTGATCAAACAACTATCCTCAAACTGTAGATTAGGAAAACAGCAGCAAAACTTTAATCTAAAGGAGCCACCTACAAAGATTTCCTGACCACAAGGTTGAATTTATAAACCAGACAAATGACTTGTACTATTAAACAAAAAAAAAAAAGAAGACAAATTATCCAACATAAAAATGACTGGCATTTGCTCAGAGATTTTCAGAATCCAGGCAACTTTGAGAAAACAACCAATACTCTGAAGCAGTGGTGTGAAGGCAGCAATTAACATTTAACCCTTAAAACCCTATACCGCTGGTAACCGCTGACGCCGTATTTTCCTATACCGCTGGTCAACTTTATCGTTTAATTCTCAGTGCTAGAGACAGGGGATGTCACTCCAGATGACTGTCGCGAGCAGAAAGTACCGATAATGTTATGAGAGCAAGTTCTACACCGAAAGTTTGGAAATTTTGCGAGTTTTTAAGAAAAATTAGTCGCTTTTCGCTGCCAGGCCCTTCAGGCCGCAAAATTTTGGACATTTTTTACCCTAACCAGACCCCAATAATGATCTCCCAGTCGGATATATAGATAAATATGACCGTTGAAGACGATTGCAATGTTCCGCATAACATCGAGGATGATTTTGACGATAGTGGAATTGGCAGGGGATCACCACTAAAGCTACCAGAGGCTAGATCTACGGCTGGGTCTAATGATACTTTGACAGAAGTGGAGTCGGGGATCACACACAAGACCAGTGTTTTAACCTTTTCCCCATATATAAATAACATTTTCAAACTTCAGTAAAATCTAACAACAATTAAAGACACAGTAAACAAAACAATGAACCAAACTATTTTTTTCTAGTATCTCAATTTTAATTCAGGATTCTAGGGAGGTATGAAAAAAAAAGAATTCAGGGTTTTAAGGGTTAAGCGTATGGCAACCACTTAGGACAATAGAGGTACAAGACAGGAAAGTAAGAGAGCTTGTAAAATCTAACAATTTCAGGTGACAAGTGAAGGTGTAGACTGAAAAATTTCCAGAGCCACAGGAAACTAATTCATACTTCAAACAATATGAAAATCACAAAAAAACCATATGCATATATACACCACAAGCAAAAACTATAAGCCCCCTTCTGGACAAACAAAAACAAGGCAAACATGTTGATATTTCAATTTTTTCCACTTTCGTAGCACCTCTGTGACATATTTTCCTGAATTAACATTTAGTTTAGTATGGGGTGTTTCTCCCCTGCTGGTGGGGGGCCCCGTAGTTTTACTATGGGGGAGCAAAGAATACACCTGCCGTGATACTGCGTGTCGTAAGAGGCGACTAAAAGTGCAGAGGTCTGGTCGCCCGAAAAGTGCCAGTTTGCGGAGGGCCAACTACCCAACCCAGTAAAAAACAGTAAGTTACAGAAACACGGACAAACACAGCTTTTTATTTTTCGATCTTGGGAGAGGGAGGAGCTTCTGTATCAGCAGGGAATAACATCAAGAGGCTAGCCCAGGATAGAGAAAAGTGGGGGGTGTTTGTTCGTGGCCTATACCCTGGTGCAGGGTGAGAAAGGCAATGATGATGATTAGTATGGGGTGTTACGGCCACTCGCAACTGCATAAGGTCAATTAAAGAACATGAAAGAACAAACTAAGCCACTACTGACCTCTGTTGAAGAACATGTATCTGACAACCACAGATTTTTTGTTGATCTTGAAAGGGACGCCACTCAGCACCACCCTCTTGATCACAATGCGATCTGTGTCCAGGGGAAGTAAGGAGCCTTTTGCCACCAAGTCAAATCTCTCTGCACAATGAAAAATACAAAATAAACATGATGTATCTGTATGATTAAAAAATACAGAGCAGCAAATAAAATCACACATAGAAGCTCTATAAAAATTATTGTTGGGAGGCTATCTTTAATTTTAAGTAGTGAAGAATAAATCTATAGGGCATATGAAATTATCTGTGCGATGTCAAACACTAGCTGAAATACAAGATAATTTAGCTTTAACAGACTCAAAGTTGCTGTTGTGACCCAACACAGTTCCAAAACTAAAATGAAAGTTAACCATTATTTGTAATGTATATATATTTACATTTTAGTGTTTGTTTATTTAAGTCAAATTTGTAGATACTTTTTCATTTGATTATGTACAGCCAGTCATGGGTTCATTAAAAAAAAAAAGAAGAAAAAAAAAGACAAGATAAGATAATACTTTATTATCCCAAAGGGATAAAAGTGGGTTTTGTTTGAAAAATAGGGTTTGTCAAGTCACAGTAAAGGGCCTATGATTTTTTACTCTAAGAGGGGGCCCAGAAGCTATACAGGCATGGTATGCCCCTGAAGTTCAGAGTTCTATACTGCCAACATTAGGGAAATTTTTTTCCTAATGTTATTCCACACCCCTTAATCTCAGGGATCAGCCATCTTGTCTTCTTGGATAAGGAACAATTTCTGAGGTCCCTTGTGGAGATCTAAAACCGAGAAGAGTAGACCCTTTGGACCTCTGTCCCGGCAAAATTCAAAATGAATACCTACCCAAAACACAGAACCTGCTTTCATCAATACAATGTATTAAGGGGTGGTGGGGGCTACACCCCCAAAGTCAAAATTCGGCTCAAAATTATGGAATTTGAGCTGTAGGCATTTTTAGCTTCCTCAGCCTCTCCTACAACTATTTCAACGCATAAGAACCCCCAAAAACCGTATTTTTCTCCATACCGGGCATGTTTGTTACTGCCGTTTCCTCATAAAATCAGTATTTTATTTTTCTTTATCAGCCGTTTTCTCAAAACGCGATTTTTCTCTATACTTTTTTGAATAATTCCACCATTTTTCATTCAATCTTCATGAAATTTTCACAGAATGAAGAGAAGATGTAATACTAAAAACTTGTCAGTTGAAATTTTGATATTTGGAATAGATTTTTGTTGGTGGTGTCTGGAGTGTGGATTTTCATGGATTTTTTAGCAAACTTGAATGCTACCTCAGGAAAAAATTCATAAAATTTTTTCTAATTTGATAAGGAAAAAAACAACAGACCACTTTCTAGATCTAATGTTTGTGAACACGCATGCAAAAAAAAAAATCAATTTCCATGAGCGATAAGTGCGGTATACATTATGTAAGACATGTCAACAAAATCCAATATGGCCGCC